CCCAGGCTGGAGTGCAATGGCGCGATCTCGGCTCACCGCAACCTCCGTCTCCTGGGTTCAGGCAATTCTCCTGCCTCAGCCTCCTGAGTAGCTGGGATTACAGGCACGCGCCACCATGCCCAGCTAATGTTTTGTATTTTTAGTAGAGACGGGGTTTCACCATGTTGACCAGGATGGTCTCGATCTCTTGACCTCGTGATCCACCCGCCTCGGCCTCCCAAAGTGCTGGGATTACAGGCTTGAGCCACCACGCCTGGCCTAAAATTTTTTTTTAAAGAGATGGGGTCTTACTGTATTGAACAGGGTCGTCTGAATCCTGGCCTCAAGGATTCCATTGGCTCGTCTGCTCTGAGTGTCTCACACACAGCTTCAGTCAAGGCATCTTCCTCCTGGGTTCAAGTGATCGTCCCCCCTCAGCCTCCCGAGTAGCTGGGATTACAGGCACACACCACCACGCCCAGCTCATTTTCATATTTTTAGTAGAGACAGGGTTTCACCATGTTGGCCGGGCTAGTCTTGAACTCCTGACCTCAAGTGTCCACCCAGCTTGGCCTCCCAGTGTGCTGACATTACAGGCGTGAGCCCTGGTGCTCAGCTGAACTGATGGTATTTTCACCAGGTTCATATTTGATGTGACCTTGAATAGGGGGAGAGGGCGTTTTGACAGGGAGGCGTGGTTCTAAGAACATGGAAACATGGGCGGGGCGGGGTGGCTCACGCCTGTAATCCCAGCACTTTGGGAGGCCAAGGCGGGCGGATGCCTTCAGGTCATGAGTTCAAGACCAGCCTGGCCAACATGGTGAAACCCTGTCTGTACTAAAAACCAGCCGGGTGTGATGGTGGCACCTATAATCCCAGCTACTCGGGAGGCTGAGGCAGAAGAGAACTGCATGAACCTGGGAGGTGCTTAGGGTTAGAAAAAAAAGTGAATAGAATATGGAACGCGGGACGTGGAAGCCTCCCTGTGGGCTTTCTGGGAGTGGTTTTGAGCACTCCTGCTGTAGATGTGGACATAACTTGGTAAATTCTCATTGGGCCATTGCTCTGAGCTCCTCATACAGCTGCAGATGGGGTCTGGCCTGTCATCCATCATCTTCTGAGTGGTTTTGGTTTGTATACACAGGGTGTCATTTTCTTATTGAAAAATATTGGGGCCCGGTGCGGTGGTGCACGCCTGTATTCCCAGCACTTTGAGGGGCTGAGGTGGGCGGATCACGAGGTCAGGAATTCGAGACCAGCCTGGCCAAGATGGTGAAACCCCATCTCTACTAAAAAAACTTCACCGGGCTTGGTGGCACGTACCTGTGGTCCCAGCTACTCGGGAGGCTGAGGCAGGAGAATCGCTTGAACCCTGGAGGTGGAGGCTGCAGTGAGCTGAGGTCGCCTCACTGCGCTGCAGCCTGGGTGACAGAGCGAGACTCCATCTCAAAAAAAGAGAAAAATTCCGAAAGGTGTGCATGTGGTAAGGGCACAGCTCGATAGCTAGTTCCTAAAAACCTGTCACACCCACCGCACGGAGCGGAGGCGGAGCCTTGCTGTCCCCTTGTTAAGGGAACTCGCTCTGACTCCCACCTCCATTTATTCATCTAAGGATGGTTCTTGGTTTCCATGTTGATTTTTAAAAAATCACCTGCTCCTTTGACCAAGGTCCATTATGTTGTAGTTTTCCACTGATGTGTGTGTGTGTGATGGAGTCTTGCTCTGTTGCCCAGGCTGGAGTGCAGTGGCACAATCTTGGCTCACCGCAACGTCCGTCTACCGGGTTCAAGAGACTCTCGTGCCTCAGCCTCCGGAGCAGCTGGGATGCCAGGCACACTCCTCCGCCTGTTGGCTGTGGGGAAGGAGCTGCTGTGAGCTCAGTGTGTGGATTGCTTCAAGATCCTGCTCCTCCTTTGGGCATATGCCCAGAAGTGGACTCACTGGGTCTAAGCTTAATGCTGTGGGTTTTTTTTTTTTTTTGAGACACAGTCTTGCTTTTGTTGCCCAGGCATGATCTCGGCTCTCCATAACCTCTGCCTCCTGGGTTCCAGCGATTCTCCTGCCTCAGTCTCTCAAGTAGCTGGGATTGTAGGTGTGGAACACCACGCCTGGCTAGTTGTTATTTTTATTTTTTTATTTTTTATTTTTTGAGACGGAGTTTCGCTCTTGTTACCTAGGCTGGAGTGCAATGGCGCGATCTCGGCTCACCGCAACCTCCGCCTCCCGGGTTCAGGCAATTCTCCTGCCTCAGCCTCCTGAGTAGCTGGGACTACAGGCACGTGCCACCATGCCCAGCTGATTTTTTGTATTTTTAGTAGAGACGGGGTTTCACCGTGTTGACCAGGATGGTCTCGATCTCTTGACCTCGTGATCCACCCGCCTCGGCCTCCCAAAGTGCTGGGATTACAGGCTTGAGCTACCTCGCCCGGCCTGGCTAGTTTTTTGTATTTTTAGTACAGACGGGGTTCCTCCATGTTGGTCAGGCTGTTTTCAAACTCCTGACCTCGGGCGATCCACCCACCTTGGCCAGTCAAAGTTCTGGGATTATAGGCGTGAGCCACCGAGCCTTCCCTTCCCCCCCCCCGCCCCCGCCCCCGCCCCCAGACAGGTTCTTGCTCTGTGGACCAGGCTGGAGTGCCGTGGTGTGGGGACCAGGGTTCACTGCAACCTCAGCTTCCTGGGTTCAAGTCATCCTGCTGCCTCAGCCTCCTGAGTAGCTGAGACTACAGGCACCCACCAGTACACCTGGCTTTTTTTTCTTTTTGTATGTGGGTGGTGGGGGTCTCACTGTGTTGCCCAGGCTGGTCTGGGGCTCCTGGGGTCAAGCAGTCCTCCTGCCTCAGCCTCCCAAAATGCTGGGATTACAGGCGTTAGCGCCACCCCCTGCTGCGCCCTTTGTGATGGGCACGTCCCATTCTGTTCGCTGGTGTTGCCAACGAGGCCTCACATGGGGAAGGAGCAGTGAGCATGTTTTCTCTCGTTCCTGGCGGCAGCAGCTCTGTCCCCTGCGGGCCAAGCCCGTGTCACAGACAAGGAAAGTGGGGCCCGAGAGGTGGGACCCCAACGGCAGGTGAGGGGGACTCGGAGGTCTGCCTGGACCCAGCCCCGCCGCCTCCCCCCCCCCACAGGAGATTGTCAACTTCAACTGCCGGAAGCTGGTGGCCTCCATGCCGCTGTTCGCCAACGCCGACCCCAACTTCGTCACGGCCATGCTGACCAAACTCAAGTTCGAGGTCTTCCAGCCGGGCGACTACATCATCCGCGAGGGCACCATCGGGAAGAAGATGTACTTCATCCAGCACGGCGTGGTCAGCGTGCTCACCAAGGGCAACAAGGAGATGAAGCTCTCCGACGGCTCCTACTTCGGGGGTGAGTGCGGGGGGCGCAGAGCCGGGGGGCTGCGGGCGGGGCCGGGGTGAACCCCGGGAGCCCAGGGTGGAAGGGCCCGCGGTGGGCGCAGGGCAGGGGCCGGGCCGCGTGCCCGGGCAGGGCGGGGGTCCCGCCGCTGAGGACCCCCCGCCCGCCACGCGCAGAGATCTGCCTGCTCACGCGGGGCCGGCGCACGGCGAGCGTGCGGGCCGACACCTACTGCCGCCTCTATTCGCTGAGCGTGGACAACTTCAACGAGGTGCTGGAGGAGTACCCCATGATGCGGCGCGCCTTCGAGACGGTGGCCATCGACCGCCTGGACCGCATCGGTGAGCGGGACGGGCGCGGACGGGGCGTGGCCGGGGCTTCGGGGGCGGGGCCGAGGCTCCGGGGGCGCGGCAGGGGCGGTGGCATGAGGGGCGTGGCTGGGGTCAAGGCAGGTGTGGCCAAGGCTCGAGGGGTGTGGCCAGGGCTTGAGGGGCGGGACTGGGCGTGGTCAAGGCGAGGGGTGTGGCTGGGGTCAAGGCAGGGGTGTGGCCAAGACCTGAGGGGCGTGGCCAAAGCCTGAGGGCCATGGCCAAAGCCTGAGGGCCATGGCCAAAGCCTGAGGGGCATGGCTGGGGTGGCCAGGCGTGGCCGGGCCTGATCAAGGCCTGAGGGGTGTGGGCGGCCCCTCCCGGGTTTCTTTTCCGTTTACAGGCTGGTTTTCTGACCTGTGGTCCTACCGGGGTGCAGTAGGACGGGGGCGAGGCCAGATAGAGCACGGGGTGTTCACACTTGTGCCTAAGGCTCATCTGGCTAATGTCTGCTGAGCACCTGCTGTGTGCGGGGGGTGCTGGGGGTGCAGGGGGCAGATCAGGAGGCCGACTCGGACTCCCAGGGAGGCTTATGGACTGGTGGTCAGATCACACGGTGGGCTGTGTGCCAGCAGGGGAGGTGGGTCCGGTGGGCTTCCCTGAGTTGGGAATGCACAGTGGAGGCCAGGGTGAGTAGGTGAGGCCATGCGGACAGAGGGAAGGGCGTTCCCAGAGTGGACACAGCAGATCCCAAGGCCCTGGGGTGGGGAGGAGGCCTAGGGTCCAGAACCAGGGACGCCTGGAGGAGGAATGTGGGGAGGCAGGTGGGGCCAGACACACAGGAGTCAGTGGGTAGTGAGGAGAGTTTAAATTAGGAGCCTCAGGGGTAGGGTTCTAGGTGGGTGGAGGACCGGGTCTACGGGGGAGGGGGGGGGGGGGTGGCAGTCTCCAGAGAAGGGCAGGGCCCTGACGACGGGATGTAGGCGGCAGGGAGATGGTGGCTCGTGCTGCTGTTAGTGGGAGTGGAAACGAAGACCACGGCTGCAATGCTGGACAGCGCGACGGAGAGGTATGGGGGAGCTCGCCAGTGTACAGTAAGCAGCACTCCACAAGTTGCTCTACACAGTGGGCATGCAACACACTGGGTGTGGGGTGCTTAGGTTATACCTGGTGTATACAGCAGGCACTCAGCACTTGCTGTGTACAGACAGGTGTTGTGGGTATGCCTGTTGCACACTGGAGGCACTAATTACATCAGTGTATACAGTTGGTACACATGCATCCTTGGTGTATAGCGATACCTGCTCCATGCATACAGTAGGCAATAACTACCTGCTTTTTGTATGCAGGTGCTTCGTGCATGCTGGCTGTGCATAGCAGGTGCTCAGCCTGTATACAGCAGGTACTCAGTATCCATACTGTAGGCAGGAGATGTGACATGTTTGCTTATTGTATACAGTAGGTGCTAAATATGTGCTGGCTCTATGCTGCAGCACTCCATGCATCCCCCCTGTATAGAGCAGGTGCTAGATGCCGGGTTGCTGTATCCAGCAGGCGCCCCGAGTGCCTACTGTATGCAGCAGGCGCCCCCTGTGCGCGTGCTGACCACCCCCATCTCCCGCAGGCAAGAAGAACTCCATCCTGCTGCACAAGGTGCAGCATGACCTCAACTCGGGCGTGTTCAACAACCAGGAGAACGCCATCATCCAGGAGATCGTCAAGTACGACCGCGAGATGGTGCAGCAGGCCGAGCTGGGCCAGCGCGTGGGCCTCTTCCCGCCGCCGCCTCCGCCGCAGGTCACCTCCGCCATCGCCACGCTGCAGCAGGCCGTGGCCATGAGCTTCTGCCCGCAGGTGGCTCGGCCGCTCGTGGGGCCGCTAGCGCTCGGCTCTCCGCGCCTGGTGCGCCGTCCGCCCCCGGGGCCTGCACCTGCTGCCGCCTCGCCGGGGCCCCCGCCCCCCGCCAGCTCCCCAGGTGCGCCCGCCAGCCCCCGGGCACCGCGGACCTCGCCCTACGGCGGCTCCCCCGCCGCCCCCCTCGCCGGGCCCGCCCTGCCTGCGCGCCGTCTGAGCCGCGCGTCGCGCCCATTGTCCGCCTCGCAGCCCTCGCTGCCCCACGGAGCGCCTGGCCCTGCGGCCTCAGCGCGCCCGGCGAGCAGCTCCACGCCGCGCCTGGGGCCCACACCCGCCGCCAGGGCCGCTGCACCCAGCCCGGACCGCAGGGACTCGGCCTCGCCCGGCCCCGCCGGTGGCCTGGACCCCCAGGACTCCGCGCGCTCGCGCCTCTCATCCAACTTGTGACCCTTGCCCACCGCCCCGCGCGCCCAAGCGGGCCGGGGGCGGGGCCGTCATCCAGACCAAAGCCATGCCATTGCGCTGCCCCGGCCGCCAACCTGCCGAGAAGCCATAGACAGACGTAGGTAGCCGTAGTCGGACGGACGGGCCGGTGGGGCAGCCCCCTCTGCACCCCCGGCCGTCCCCCCTCATCGCCCTGCGCCCACCCCCATCGCCCCTGCCCCCGGCGGCAGCCTCGCGTGCGAGGGGGCTCCCTTCACCTCGGTGCCTCAGTTCCCCCAGCTGTAAAATGGATGGGGCAGCCCAGTGGCCCAGAAGAGCCCGCTGTGGAGCCCCCCAACCCCCCACGGTGGCCCGCTGTCCGATGAGGATTGTTTTCTAAGTGCAATACTCGGCCCGCTGGCTTCCCGCTGCCCCCATCGCGCTCACGCAATAACCGGCCCAGCCCCGTCACCTGGCGTCCCGCGGTGACCGCCGGGAGCAGCCGCCCGGCTCCCTCCAGCACCCGCAGCGAGGGGCGGGCTGCGCAGGGCGCGGGGGCAAGGCTGGGGTCCCGCCGCCGTGATGAATGTACTGACGAGCCGAGGCAGCAGTGCCCTCCCACGCCCCATTAACCCCCACACCCCCATTCCGCGCAATAAACGACAGCATTGGCGCCCAGCCTGCCCGCGTCTCATTGCTTGGGTGCTCACCCTCCCTGAAGGTAGCCGCTCCGGTGGGTAGCCAAAGAGCTTTATTTTATTTACACAATGGCACCACGAGATGTCAGCTGAAGAAGAAGGTGGAAAGCTTCACACGCTCCAGGTCGAAGGTCCCTGCGGAGGAAGCAGAACGGAGGACATGGGCGGGGACTGGGGGCACTGAGACACCCCGCAGTGAGCACCACCCATGCCAGGCCGCCCCCACCATACCTGGCTTGGGCACTGCCAGCAGCGTCTCCCTCAGCTTGATGTCCTCCAGATGCTGGGAGAGCTTCTGGGGCCTGGGTCGGGAAGCATGGCAGGGTGAGGCGGAGGGCAGCGGGGAGGGGGTCCTGGGTGCCAGGTCGGGGGGCACCTCACCTGGAGCTGCAGCAGAACCGGCTGATCAGGAAGCTGGACAGGTCCTGCAGGATGGGCTGGCTGTGCAGGCGGACGAACTGCTCCCGGCACACCTGGCGGGGGCGGGGGAGCAGGAGTGAGGGGCTGCCCAGGGACGATCAGGCAGGGTCTGGGCCCCACCCATGGTTCACTGAGGCGTAGATGGGGGGTTACCTGATTCATGATGGGGACATCAGCCGCGTGGGTCCAGAAGCAGTCATGCACAGAGACGAAGGTCAGGCCCTCCCTGAGGCAGAGCAGAGAAGCTCTTGAGGGGAGGGGAGGGGCACCCGCACGGCCACCCGGCGGCCAGCTTCCTGGCCCTGTGCCCCCAGCTTCCTACGCTCGGCCCCTCCACTTGAGGTCCTGGGAAGCCCACCCTCCTCCAAGCCTCCAGGCCTTACCCCAAACAGGCCGTGCAAAGGTTCTCAAAAGCCTCTCTGCCCCACACCAGACACCGTCCAGGCCGCTACCAGCCTCAGCTTCAAGGGCAGCTGTGTTCTCCCCTCCTGCCGGGGCCACCACCCCCCCATCACAGATGTTCCCACCCCCCATGGCTGGTGAATTCTGCTGGAACCTCCACATGCCACAGATCAGGCCACACACTGCAGTGCCCACCTAGAAATGCCCAACAGGAAGGGGCAGAGCCACGCTCGACTCGCCCCATCAGGCCACAGGAACCTTCCCACCCCACCCCCGGCGAGGAGAGCTTACAGGGTGCACGTTTGGGGTGCCCCACTGTCCCCGGCACACAGCACAGCCTCAGAGCCTTTGCACAGGCCTCACAGACACAGCAGATCCACTCCCCCCAGTCCCTGCCCTCCAGAACTGTACCCTCCTGGACCTGGCCTTGCCAGCTGCACCTGGTAGCCAGAACAGGCTGGCACACAGGCCTCTGGGAAGACAACAGCACCCACCCTCCCGGCCACGCCCACCTCTCCCGGCCGCGCCCACCTGTAGCAGTGCAAGGCGGTCAGCATCATATGCGTGGAGTCCAGCGAGTGGATGAAGTTGGGGGGGAACCCGTTCCTCTGCTTCAGCTTGTTGGGCTTCCTGGGGATAGAATGGGGGTCAGAATGCACCCCAAGCCTAGGGACCCCCTAACTGCTGTCTCCGCTGTGGGCTCCCCCCACCAACCCCCCAGCCCAGGCCACCCCCTCATTCACTGGTCACTGTCTGCACTGTGGGTACCGTTATCTCCACAGCCTGGGCCCCTCCAAACATGACCCGTCTCCACTGCAGGTGCCCCCCAAACTCCCCAGCCCAGGCCCCCAACTCACAGGCTGCTGTCTGCGTTGACAGAGTAGGAGACACTCTGAAGCCCACCTGTGCCCTGCTAAAGGAGAAGGAAGGGGCCTGTGAGTCCCGCCCGAGGCCCAGCACAGCTGGGGGACGGCGTGGAACACGCACTCACCTTGATCTTTATTTCCTGGTGGTAAGGCTGGATGATGGGGATGCCCAGGGGTGTGACCCACTCCACCGCTGAGCCCATGTGGGAGATGAGGCGGGCGCTCTCAGTCAGCCAGTGCTGCGGAACACAGGCCGTCTCAGGGCGGGGAGCTCAGGCCGGGGCTGCCGTCCGCCTGGTCAGGGAACCCGGTCAAGCAGGGGCAGAGGCCAGGACGCACCTGGATGGCCCGGGAGCCCGAGAACATCTCCTGCAGGCTCCTGAAGACCTGGCGGACGAGGTACTGGGAGGCCTCCCACAGGAACTCCTGCAGAGGGTGGGCGGCAGGAGGGGGTCCCTCAGGGGCGGCCCGTAGACGCCCTCCTCTCCCACTGCACAGAGCAACTGAGGCCCAGGGCCCAGGGGTTGGGGCCTGACATGCAGGCGGTCGGCAAGACACTCCCCAGCCCTAGCAGGCAGCCAGTGGTCTGGGGCAAAACCATCTGATTTTCAAGTGGCAGTGAAACCGTCAGATTTTTAAACGGCGATGAAATCAACACGGGACCCAGCACCGAGGCCTGGCACACCTGGGGAAAGTCACTCAGCTCGCGGAGGCGCTTCTCAATCTGCAGGCGCCCGCCATATCGTGTGACCCCGTACACCACGGTCATCACCGTCTGCTTCACCACCTTGCGGGTGACGAAGCCCTCCAACACCTGCGCCACCCGCAAGTCACGCCTGGCGTCCTGCCTGCGGAAAACCTCCACCTGCATTGTGGGTTGGGGAGCAGGTGCTCAGGGTCCACGGGGCACCCATGGAGCCTGGGCAACATCTGCCTGGGAACACCACATTCTCAGGACAGGCCAAGGCACCCGCATGTGGGCAGAGGCTCCAGGCCCACACCCCTGCCACACCAAGATGCCACCGGGGCAGGTAGGAGGGCACGCCCCACCTGCGCGGCCACGTCACTGTACACGTCCTGCGGCACGTCTGCGGGCTCCAGGTTCACAGAGGCGGCGCCCACACTGTCCCGGCCCAGGGCGGCGTAATGCTGCAGGCCATTGCAAGAGCCATCCTGGTGGGGGGAGCGCAAACGGGACACTGAGGCTCAGGGACGTGCAGGGGCCCCAACAAAGTCCCCAGGTGAAGCTGTTACCAGGGGCTTGCATGCTCCTGGGAGAGGTGGGTGGGCTGGCCCCGTTAGAGCCTCCCTGAGAAGACACCACAAGGAAGGTGAAATCTCACATCCTCAAGTTGAGCCCCAGGCCCAGGGCACACGGCCTCACCTGATGGACGGGGAGGTGGGAGACGTAGGCAGCAGGGTCGGAGGCGCGCACCGCCTTCGCAATCTCCATACAGCAGGCCAGCGTCTGCCAGGGTTCCTCTGAGTCCATCCACCACTTCCGGCCCTGTGGAGACAGGGGCGGGGGGACAGTGAGGTCCGGCGGAGTCCCTCAGCCCACTGGGGGGCTGTGGTATGGGGACACAGGAACACGGGGTGGGAGGGGGTGGCGGGGAGACGCACATGTGAGAAGGGGGCCTGGGACCCACGTGGGCAAGAGATGGGGGCGTGGCTGGAACATGTGGGCTGCGGATGGACGGGGCGGGGCAAATGTGCCCAGAGGTGCCTGGGGAGGAGGGCGCATGCCCAGGTCCCGCCCCTACCGTCATGGGATGGTCCGCGGAGTCCAGGATGTCGCCCATCACCTCCTCCGCGAAGGCCCGGCGCACCTGCAGCGGCTCGCGCTTCTTGAGCCCCGTGAGGTTGACGACGTGGATCTTGAGCCAGTCTAGGCCGTGCGGGCCGAGCGGGCGGCCCTGGGCGAACTCCAGCAGGGCCCGCGCCAGGTCGTTGCCCAGGTGGTTGAAGTGCGGCGGGCAGGGGTAGGTGCGGCCGCGGAAGTCCATGTTGTGCGGCAGCCAGAAGACGCGGTCCCGCAGGTGCGCCGCCAGCGAGAGGCGGTACAGTGCCTCCGCGCGCAGGCTGTGCATCTCGCGGGCCTCCTTCAGGCAGCGCGCCAGCTCCCGGCGCAGCTCCGCCTTGTGCACCAGCCCGGTGCTGGAAGGCAGGGGGACCTCGTGCGGTGGGGCCACCTCGGACGGCCGGGCCGGCACACTGAGCTTGGGGCAGCCCTTGTCCTGGAAGAGCTCCAGCACCACATCCAGCACGCGCCCGTTGACACGCCAGGCACAGTTGCCCAGCTGGGTGAGCGTGTCCAGGGCGCCGTGCAGCGCGGCGGGCGGGCACTTTTCCAGCAGCCGCTGGTGGTGCGTGGTGCCGTCCACCGCACGCATCAGCTTGGTGGGGCTGAGCAGGAAGGCGCCGGTGTGCGGTGAGGTCCAGGGCAGCGGCGGGCATAGCATGGGCACGTCCACGGCCTCGAAGGTCAGCGTGGGCTCCGCGGCCGTGGCCAGCAGCTGCACGTAGGCCGGGTGCGGCTTCAGGAAGCCGATCTGGGGTGGGACAGGCATACGGGTCAGGGCCCCAGGGCTGGAGCCTCGCTGCCCCCGCCCCTCAAACTCGGGGGAGAGGGGCCGGCTCCCCAGCCAACAGGAAACAGTGCGGAAGCCACCTCTAGACACGGAGGGACAGCTGTGTGGACCCTCAGTGTGTCTGGAGTCCCGGGAGGTGCCGACGGCCGCGCTGGGGCCAACCCCCAAACTCAGGAGGGAACTGCTGCCTGGCACCGGCGGCCCAGAGCACGCGCACCTGGTAGACGTTGCGGAAGGAGTACACGTGGTAGAGCAGGGGGACGAGCCGGGAAGTGCCGCGCAGCTTGCCCAGGTCGGACGGCATCTTCGTTGCCTGCACCAGGATCTCCGCCAGCAGCCTACCCAGCTCCACCTGCACCAGCAGGGGCCAGGGCTGCTCCTGCGGAGGTTCCGACACCCCAAGCGCCTCCCAGTACTGCCGCGGCAGGCAGGGCTCGGGCACCTGTGGGGCAGGGCGGTTGGGAGAGCTGGGCACCAGGGCCTCCCCGACGCCCGTGCCTGCCCCCCACTGCGTGGGGCCCTGTCAGCCCCAGCGTAGAGAGGAAGAGGCTGAGGCTTGGGGATGAACCCAGCTGCCCCAAAGAGGGAGGGCGCCCCACCACCACGGCCCCGCAGGAGGAGGGCGGGCTCACCTCGGTGTCCGAGGCCAGCAGGTGTAGGTACCGCCTGTAGTGCCTCTTCAGCGCCTCCACCTGGCCGCT